TCAATGTGACTGATGCTGTGCTCTTCAACTGGGTAGCTACTACTGAGCAACTGAAATGGAGGCATCCAAAGTGAAGTAACATACACACTGGGTTTTGAAGACTTACTACAAATAAAAATGGATTTAAAACATCTCAATAACGTTTCACACTGATTACATGTTGAATGATAAAAATACATTGTTAGAATGATTTTTTTTTCTTTTTTGAGATGGAGTCTCCCTTTGTCACCCAGGGTGGAGTGCCGTGGCACAATCTCTGCTCACTGCAACCTCTGCCTCCTGGGTTCAAGTGATTCTCCTGCCTCAGCCTCGTGAGTAGCTGGTATCACAGGCACGTGTCACCACGCCCAGCTAATTTTTGTATTCTTAGTAGAGATGGAGTTTCACCATGTTGGTCAGGATGGTCTCGAACTCCTGACCTTGTTATCAGCCCACCTCGGCCTCCCAAGTGCTGGGATTACAGGCGTGAGCCATCGTGCCTGATCTAGAATGATGTTTTTTAATTAAAAAAAAAAAATCTTTTTTTTTTTGAGATAGGCCCTCACTCTGCCACCCAGGGTGGAGTGCATTAGCATGATCATAATTCACTATAGCTTTGACTTCCCAGGGTCAGGAGATACTCCTGCCTCAACCTCCTGAGTAGCTGGGAACACAGGTGTGCACTATCACACCTGGCTAATTTTTTAAAATACTATTTGTATAGACAGGGGTCTCCCTATGTTGCCCACAGTGGTCTCAAATTCCTCAGCTCAAGTGATCCTCCTACCTCGACTTCCCAAAGTATTGGGATTACAGGCATGAATGCCATATCCAGCCCATTATTAAAGTGAATTTTAATGTGGCTACTAGAAAATGTAAAATCATATATGTGGCTTGCTTTATATTTGGGGCACTGCTGCACAAGGTAACTGACACCTCAGAGTTGTCCCCACCTGAGACAAGGAGCGAGGCTTTCATTTCCTGCAGCCTCAGTCACTGGCTGAGGGCCACAGGGTGGGAGTAAGGGTGGGTTGATGTACAGGCCCATGTCCTTCAAGCTCTCTACATATGTGGGGTGCAGGGGTGCAAGGGCAGTTTGCCCACGAGTCCCCATTGTGAGTGCTTGGAGGTGCATGGAACTGGAGACGGGAAAAAGAGCACAGAACGGTAAAGGGACCTGAGGGCATCTAAGGGAACTGACTAACGATGTCCATGACACCCCCTGACCCCACTCCCTTTCCTCTTCATTAGCAGTTTGGCTTCCTACTACTCTTTTGTCTATCTGCAAACTTTTATGCAACATATATGCTTGGACTATACAATGTTCTGTGGCTTGCTTTTCTACCTAAACTAGAGGTTTTATACATCTTTCTACATCAGTAAATATACATGCATCCTTCATTTGGAAGATTACAGAATGAGATATCCTTATACATTATTTACATTCTTTTAGCTTTTAAATCTTTAAATATTAAAATGATTTGTCTTAGCATGTTCTTTCCTATCCCTGTAAGACTTTATTAAAAATTTAGAATGCTAGCTATTTTAAATCTTTTCTCTCATTTAATTTTATCTTTTTGCCATACTTTACTCTTAGAGTTCTTTCTTTACACTTTCATCTAATTCTTTGACTTCAGAAACTGTTCAGATTTTGTCTCATCACTGTTTTCATCCATTTACTCATTTATCTTTTCTAGTCCTAACTTTCTAATTTTAAAAAAATATATGTTCCTCTTAACCTTCTGACATATTTTATCTCTATCTTTTCACTATTTAAAATATATAGCAGTTGAAGAACTTCTCAGAAATAAGTGGAAAAAGTGCTCATTTGCCTAACTCCTTGGAACTCTTGGAAAAAAGCAAAAAATAGCTCATTATATAGAAGACAACTTATTGAAGCAAGAGTGTGGCCAAACTCCATGCTAGAACTCTGAGACCTGCTACATATGGTTAAGTGTAGACAAACTGAAAGAGATCATTGAGATTCTGTACATCTCCCACAATGTGAAGGAAATGACCTGGCATGCCCTGGAGGCCTGGTTAGGTTTGATTTGGAGGGGTGAGGAATGACAGCAAAGGTGGGACCGGGTAGAGGGTTTCCTCTTCTTTTTTTCACTGCGTCAGCTTTCTAATGAGAAAGCGTGACCTCCTGAAAACAGGCTGAGGAAGAGAAGGATAAGTATGTCTTACGAGCCACTTGGATCTCTTCAAAGACATTAACCAAAAGTACACATGAACCTGCCCAAAGAAGGGCCACAAGTCAGGGGATATCACATTGACCTACTCAGATCCTCTGTGGAAGGGTGTGTTTGCCTTGAAGTGGGGGTGAAGGCTGGTAATTCAAGGGAAGCCCTTCCAGGGGGTCAGATACAGCAAGGAACAGGGAATTAGGTGGACTGGTGGGAAAACATGGGATTGGTAAGAAGAGATGGCACATTCCTACTGCCTCTGTACCCTTTCCATTTCCTGAGGCCAGACCTCAAGCTCAGGTTCTAAAAAAGAAGACCCAACCATTGCTCAGATAGAGCAGAAGGGAGTCAAGGTGGTTCCACTCACATTATTATAAGGTACACAACCCAGAAGAGCTGCAAAGACTACCGAGATGCAAAGATGAACATGCAAGACTACCGAGCAAAAACTGCAAAGATGAACATGCAAGACTACCAAGCACAGGACCCATGAGAAATGGCAGCACTGGGCAAATGAGGAGTACAGATCAGGAGGTTTCCCTAGGGAGCAGATGAAAAATAAGACATCAAGAGAACAAGGCTTCTCTCAAAACATCAAATACTGCAATAGGGAGATTTAACAAGGCTCTAGGATAAATATCCCAGAATAAGGTGGGAGAAAGGATGATTCAGTGTGGAGGTGCTTTCTGGGGGCAGGGGACCTGCAGGAGAGGAGAGGGGGTATCCCTGAGCACTAAAACACTCCTATGGAAAGTGTTTTTTTATGTATGTGGTTTCCTATTTGACGGAAGTCAGCCCTGAGAAGCATAGTTCATAGTTTTCCTATCCTATGTTGTGACTCCCAAGCCCTAAGTGTACCTTGAGTCTTTGTATTATGAGTTCAAAGGGATTAGGGTAAAGAGAAACACAGCCTACTTCACAGTTAGGCCTCTCCTCAAGGCCTCAAGGAGGTAACAGCAGTCCGGAGAACTTGTCTGGGAGCTCCAGATTGGTTCCTCTAGCTGTGGCAGCCACAGACAGTTCTGATGAGGCCGAATTATGAAGTCTAAAAGAGACCATATTTTGGGAGGCTGAGGCGGGAGGATCACGAGGTCAGGGGTTCGAGACTAGCCTGGCCAACATGGTGAAACCCTGTCTCTACTAAAGATGTAAAAAATTAGCCAGGTGTGGTGGCAGGCACCTGTAATTCCAGCTACTCAGGAGGCTGAGGCAGGAAAATAGCTTGAACCTGGGAGGTGGAGGTTGCAGTGGGCTGAGATTGCACCATTGCACTCCAGCCTGGGTGACAGGGTGAGACTTCATCTCAAAAAAAAAAAAAAAAAAAAAAAAGAAACCGACCATGGAAAGAACACAACCATGCCCAAGAGGCATCTCAAATGCTAGTCGGGAGACCCTTGAATGCAGCACTACAGCAAAAAAGACAAGATCTCAGTTTTGACTCATTCAACGTGGCAGCCACTTCACCACCCTGATCACTTGACCTTCAGTTATATCCCACAGGGAATATGGGAAGCTTCAGGAAGCTACACCCACTCACTTGCACCCTTGATTTTGCACATTCCTTGTTCTGATTGTTCACTGAAAACAACCTTGACACAGGCATAAATCATTCTTGCAGGTCTTCAAACCAGTATCCACTTTTGAGGTTGGAGCTGATGCAGCCATCAAGTGAGCAGCAACCCCCACAGAGCTGGGGCAGTGGGAGGCTACAGCAAGCAGCTGGCTGTCCGTGGACAAATCAGGAGTGGACACCAGATTCCCTGTCACCAAATCTAAACTAGCCCCCTCCCACACACGCTCTTCATATGCTATAACCTCCTACTCCATAGCCCTCATCACTGTCAGAAGTCATCCTAGCTATGCATTTGTTTACTGGGACATGGTCTATCTCCCTCCACTAGAATGTCAGCTCCATGAGGAGGCAGGAACCTCTTATTCACTGTGTGTTCCAAGCACCTAGAACATAGCAGTGCTCCACAAATAGCTGTTGAATGAATACATGACTATGTGAATGCCAAAAGCATTAGAAAGATATTCATCTGGCATAGGGAGAACATGTCAGGTGATCTGGCCCTTTCTTGAATGAGGTCACTGTTGGCTTCAGTCAGGCGGATGGGAAACCTGCTCCACTGCTTTACCAGTCTCTGACAGGCAGCTGCTTTGTGAGGACTGTGACAAGTGCACAGGAACAAAGGCAATCCATCTGCAAAACATCAACCTGGCTTGATCTATGGAACTGACACTGGGGAATACTTAGTGGCTGGCAGTGCTTCTAAAGACACTTTTTTCTCTGGTCATAAAATGCAAGACAGATATTTATGTCCTTACTTCCATTTGTGCTGAAATGATGCAATCACTGACACTTATGGTTGGAAAGTCTACCTCACCCAACTGAGGCTGGATTGCCCATTTTTACCTCTTCACCCAATAACGTGGTTCCCACATGGGTATGTCAGCTATGCAACAGCACACTCATGTACAGGAAACCTTTGACTAGTGTGTGACCAACTTTCCATCAATATGTCTCATTTATTTTTGTTATTAGAGAAAGATACTGTCTATGGCAGATACTGTGGAATGAGTTGCTCCATACCTACTTCAGTACCCTTCCACTCTGCAAAAGTTGGAAAGCTAAAACTTAAATGTCCTCAACTCCTTTGCAGTTAGAGTTCTGGATGTGATTTAGATTCCACGAGTCAGATGCACTCATGAGAGACTCTGATTTGGAACTGAGTCAGTGGTGCAAAAGAGGGGATACAAGTATCGTTTTGCTTTTGCAGACAGTGTCAGGGTATCATGGTTATAGACTCAGCAGCTTCTTGATTCTCCAGCTTTCTGAAGTAGCAGTGGTGATTCTGGGGATCCCGGCAGGGTCGGCAGCAAGGGTCTGTAGTTAGTCAAGGTGCCAGCAGCTCCTTGCTTCTTGATTGATTAGCTTCTTGTCATGATGTAGCAGCTTTCCTTTCCTGAAGACAACAGAGCAGAGTGGTCCTGGGAGCTCAGACTGAAGTTGGCTCTCCAGCCCTTCCAACAAATTTGTACACACTTAATTCTGTGGATCAGTACAAAATCCCTTTCTGCTTATAATGGGTAGAGTGGATTCTGTTGTCTGCAACAGATTACTGACTGATAGGCCTTTTACAGTGTCTGTCAGATTGGATTATGAGCTTAACAATTTAAATGACCCTGTGCAGAGTGTAGAGCAGGGCACAAATTTCTTCTGGTGGAAGCAATGGAATAACCTCCAGTGGGCAACAAAAAGAGACTGCATATTTTTATACAGGAATACATAGGAATGTTGCCTTTTAGAATAAAAGAGAGCCTGCTCAAAGTACGAGGTATGCTCAAGCAGCAAAGAAGTGTTGAGGGGCAACCATAGGAGTAACACACTAGTATCGTGCGGGGGCTCACATCTGTAATCCCAGCACTTTGGGAGGCTTAGGCAGGGAGAACTGAGACCAGGAGTTTGCAACCAGCCAGGGCAACATAGTGAGACCTTGTATGCAAAAAAAGTTAGTCCTGGCTGGGCATGGTGGCTCACGCCTGTAATCCTAGCATTTTGGGAGGCCAAGGTAGGCGGATCACGAGGTCAGGAGTTTGAGACCAGCCTGGCCAACATGGACCCTGTCTCTATTAAAAATACAAAAAATTAGCTAGGCGTGGTAGCTCGTGCCTATAATCCCAGCTACCCGGGAGGCTGAGGCAGGGGAACCGTTTGAACCCTAGAGGCAGAGGTTGCAGTGAGCCAAGATCTCACCACTGCACTCCAGCCTGGGTGACAGACTCCGTCTCAAAAAAAAAATTTTTTTTTTGGTCCTAGTTACTTAGAAGGCTGAGGTGGGAGGGTCACTTGAGCCCAGAAGTTCGAAGTTATAGTGAGATATGATCACGCCACTATGTTCCAGACTGTCTGGTCTAGAGACAATAGGTCTAGAGACCCTGTTTCTAACAGCACACTAATTGAGAATACTTCTGAGGTCACTGTTACACTGGAGTGTGATTCTGTTATCACTGTTGCTGACCTACTTAACATTGTTTTGAGTCTTTTCAAGTTTGTTACCAAAAATTATATTCAAAACTATGCAGAAAACATAAAATAGTTGAGAAATACTACTGTAACTTATAGGTGCTTTGACATTTTTGATAAAAACATTTTTACTGCGCCTCATAGTAAACCATCCTAGCTTGGAGCAAAACTAACTGCAGGAATGTACTTTCAGGTACTGAGTCCAGCCTATTTTAACATATCTCATATCCATTGTGATTTTAGGTCTAGCCAAGGGCCATATACTGAGTGGGCCTAATTTCTTTGTATACGAAACCCTTTCAACTGTAGTAAGGCAGCTGCCATATCCTCCATGAATTTTCTTTCTCATGTAAAACACTACTCTCCCATATTGTCACTTCTAGCAGATACAAACATCTTTATAAAACAAGAGCTAAAAAACCCAGACAAAAACAAACAAAATCAAATTTTCAACTAACATTCCCTCCACCTGTGCAAAGAGTTGGCTATATTCATTGTTTCCAGTCATCTCCTCTCATTCTCTCTTGAAGCCAGTCCAGTGAGATTTTCACCCTCACTGTTCCAAAGAAACAGTTTTGTCAAAGGCCACCAATGAACCAATGATGCTAAACCCAGTGGTCAATTCTTAGTTCTTTACTTTGTTTGACCTATTAACATATGATACAGAAAATCATTCCCTCTTTGTTTTTCTTTTAAAAAAAACCAACTATACTCATCTTATTTCTCCCAAATAAAAAATGTCAATCACATTATGTATCCATGACACAATGATTTCACATTCAAGTCTGAAGTCTACATTTCACATGGGATTTATATGAACAGTTAATAGAAGTCCACCAAATCACAGGTTACCTTTCCTGACTAATAAAGTTTCTGTGGTGATTCTCGTTCCTAACATCTCCTGATATCCCTTTTTTCCACAAAATTTTTACATTTCCCTATTTCACTGTGATTCACAGTCACATTAAAGAACAAAGCTAAACAAAACAAAAACCTTGATGCATTCTTTCAAACATTTCCTACCTGAGGATCCAAATCTGCTCTGTCCTAAGGCAGCCACCAACCACAGGTGGCTACTGAGCACTTAAAATGTGGCTAGCCTGAAGCGAGATGTGCCATAAATGTAAAATGCATACTAGATTTTGAAGACAGTATGGGAAAAAAGTAAACTGTCTCAATAATTTGGCCACTAGACAATTTAAAATTATATATCCAATTCTGTAACTGGCTATTGTCAGAAGCTGCTTCTCTTAACACATATGTATATACTAGATACCTTTTCAAGCAGAAATATATATTTACAGCAATCTTTCTAACAGATGATTCATATTGTATTGACATACTTCTGCTGGATTAAAAAAAAACTTTTATAAGCGCTATGGTCTAATGTTTGTTTCCCTTCAAAATTCATATGTTCAAATTCATATATTCACAATATTCAATGTGATAGTATTAAGAGGTGGGGCTTATGGGTGGCAATCAGGACATGAGGGCTCAGCTCTCATGAATGTGTCCTTTTGTGTCATTAGATTCCCAAGAGAGCTTATTCACCCCTTCTACCACGTGAGGACACAAAGGCCGTTGTAACAGGCCCTCACCAGAAACCAAATATGCTGGCACTTTAATCTTGGACTTTCCAGCCTCCAGAAGTGTGAACGATAAATTTCTGTTGTTTATAAATTACTCAGTCTACAGGATTTTGTCTTAGCAGCCCAAATGGACTAAGACAACAAGCAAGACTACAGTGAATATCCTTCTTCATAAATCTCTTTAGGCAGTCACACCTCATTGCAAACTCATACTTGCTTACTGTCCTCTAAGATCCTAGCTCTAGACACAACTGGACGTGGGGTTTCTATTTTCCCACATCTCTACACTCTGCCTCTGTGTATCTCTGCATGCTGCTTTAGAATTTCTCCTCCCAGGAAAACCAGCCAGGAGTCTCACTGCAAAGGACAAATCTTTTATAATTTTCCTACAGCACTGTTTGTCAGACTTCATCTCTCTTCAGATCTTTAACTCTGGAAACCAGACAACCAAACATAATTTCTCATATTAACTTTCTAAAGCAAAACTAATTTGACTATTGTTTTCCTCCAATAAAGGAAGCCGGTTTGCATTAATTTAAAATCTTAGAGAATAATAAAAGTTGTTTTTTCTCTGTTCCTTTTCTCCAATAAACGAAGTTGGTTTGCATTAATTTAAAATCTTAGAGAACAATAAAAGTTGTCTTTTCTATGCTTTTAGGAAACAGGCATAATATGAAAATTAATTTTCTTCTGCTGGCCCTAAGAGCCCATTATGTCAGCCCAATACAGAACAGCTTTTAATAGTCTTTCCCAAGAAGACTGCTGTTTTTCCAAAAGAAAACTGACAGCAGCAGATTTATTTGTGATTAAATACTTAAGGGCCTGATACAAACAGAAAGAGTAATAACATAACACAGAGGAATAAAGACTGTGAAAAAAAGCTCACATTAAAATACTTTATAAAACTATCTGGAAAAAAGAAAGTCTGGAAAACTACAACAACAACAAAACTCTAAGAGTCCCAAAAAACATAAGGAAGAAGAAAAGGAGGCACCCCAATGCATAATGGATAACTGCTCTTTTCTGAACTTACCTTGGCCTGGAAAGCAATATTCAGGAGCAAGAAAGCATTTGTCTTGGCATCAAATTTGTTCTCACAAGCCGTGGGTTCTATGCATTACTAATAAGAAAACCACCATGTACGGAGTAATATTTGGGAAAGTAGAAAATATGTTTTCCATTTGTAATTCAAAATCTTCTGTCCACAGTAGGGCTCTGCACCCACAGTGGCTAAACTTAGCAAGCATAATTTAACCACTTAACTAAGGCAGTCTTTTACAATGAAAACTAAAAAAAATACAGAAACCCTAATTCTGTGACCCTAGGTGGCATCTGGGTATCTACCTTTTAGAAAAGCATCATGTCTGCATCATAACTTTTCTTTTTTTTGCCAACCCAATATCAATTCCCTTCTTCTGGTAATAGCACTGTGGTTTTCCTTTGAGAAACTGGTACCTCTTGGTCTCTATGAATGGAATATTTCAGCACGTGACCAGGCCCAGCCAATTCGTACGTTTTACCCCCTTCTAGCCAAAGCAATTGGTTCAAGGATGACCATAGAACCCAAGAGAGCCAATGAATGTCAGCTAAGGGACATGTGCTAGCATTATTATTGTTACTGTTATTTTAAGAAATAAGGTCTCACTCTGTCACCCCGGCTGGAATGCAGTGGCATGATCTTGGCTCACTGTAGCCTCAAGCTCCTACTCTAGTGATCCTCTCATCTCAGCCCCCTGAGTAGCTGGGACTACAGGCATGCAACACCATGCCCAACTAATTTTTATTTTTTATTTTCTTTTGAGACAAGGTCTTGCTCTGTCACTCAGGCCAGCATCCAGTGGTACAATCATGACTCACTGCAACCTTGACATCCTGGACTCAAATGATCTGCCCACCTCACACCTCAGCCTCCCTGAGTAGCTGGGACTGCAAGCATGCCACCATGCCTAATGCTTGGTTTTGTTTTTTAGAGATGGGGGTCTCACTATGTTGCTCAGGGTGGTCTCAAACTCCTGAGCTCAAGCTATTCTCCTGCCTTAGCCTCTCAAAATTTTGGGATTACAGGCATGAGCCACTGTGCCAAGTCATGTGCTAGAATCATTGAGAAAGCAGCCCTATATTTCTGCTGAGATCATACATTGAAAGTAAGTCTGGAGTAGTTAACTTTCTTTGCCTCAGTGAGGAAAGGCCTTGAGAATAAAGCCAATCCAGAAGATGAAGACTACTAATGGGATTATTTAAGCACCTGGAGCAATCTTTTCCCAATGCTTGGTCTACCCCAGCATTTTACAATTGCAGGAACCAATAATTGTCCTTTGCTTGTCATTCATAGCTTTTGACAATATTAAAAGAAAAATTTAACTACTGGTAAGGCACTGTTATCAGCCAATCAGAAAAGGTGCCAATGCAGGCTGGGCATGGTGCCTTGCGCCTGTAATTCCAGTGCTTCGAGAAGCCAAGATGGAAGGACCACTTGAGCCTAGGAGTTTGAGGCCAGCCTGGGCAACACAGGAAGTCCTCATCTCTACAAAAAAATTTAAAAATTAGCCAAGAGTAGTTGTGCATACCTGTAATCCTAGCTACTCAGGAGGCCAAGGCAGGAGGATCACTGAGCCCAGGAGTTGACAGCTGTAGTGAGCTATGATCATGCCACTGTACTCCAGACTGGGCAACACAGTAAACCTCTGTCTTTTAAAAAAGACAAACAGAAAGGATGTTGATGTGTTACTAGACCTGCTTCAGTAGCTGAAAGAGAAGTGTTAAATGGTGATTACAACTGGGTAATAGCCACCTGAGGATTGAGGCAACACCTGGAATCAGCCCTATAAGTACTGGTACTGCAAGTGGCCATGAGAGAATCATGAGTAATGGGTGGCAAGAATAACGAGGCAAGCTTTGACTTCACTCTTCGGGAAAGATAATGCAGCTGCTCAATACTAAAAAGGCTTGCTTTATGAAGTGGTAGACTCCTGGACCTTAGATGTAAGAAACAGAAAATGGATGATCAACTACAAAGGTTGCTGCAGGAAGGATTCCGGTATTACCTGGAGGGTTAGTTTTTGAAGTATTTTATGTCCTTGGGCCAGTAATATGGCATTACTTAGGAGCTTGTTAGAAACACAGATTCATATAACCCACTGATGACATTGTGAATCAGAATCTCTGGGGGTGGGGCCCAAGTAACTGGGTTTTAAGAAGCCCTCCTCCTATATGTTCTGTTTGAGAACCACTGTACTAGCAATCTGACCCAGTTTCGTGAGCCCCATTCCACAGATTCCGACTAAGATTTGGAGTGAGGCTTGAGAATTTGTATTTCTAACAAATTCTTAGGGAATGCTATGCTGCTGGTCCAGGGACCACACTTTGAGAAGCACTGTCTGAGCAGCTGACCTAGGTGATGTCTAAAGTTCCATTCAAAGTTGAGATTAGTTGATTTTCAGGATTTACCTCACAAATTCAATCCTACTAATATATAACCCTGTTCATGTTGTAGCTCACATGTGGTTTGGCCTCCATGAAATTTTGCACCCAAAATGAACAACTCAACAATAGAAAACAATTTAGAATAACTCTGGTTCATCAATTTCTTTTTTTTTTTTTCTTTTTGGTAAATAAGCTACTTTTATTAAAGATTTTCATCGTCTTATAAAAGTAATTATGCTCATTGTAAAAACTTTGGAAAGCATGGAAAAGAGTAAAGAAGAAAATAAATAAAATTTATGATCCCACTACCCATTTATAACACTAATTTTTTTCATCAATTTCTTGATCACCACAAAGGGACAAAAGATAACAGATAAATGTCTTAAAATATCATTTGCCTGTATTAGCCTCCCTCACACAAAGCAGGTTTTCCTGTATGTCTCACCTCTCAATACCCCTAAAAATTTTGCTCAGCGAATCCTAACCACTGCCCTAGGTCCCTATTGTCCTTCTCCTCACTCCGTCTCTTCCTAAATCTGCAGCTCAAAAATGCAACAAAGCAAAGCAGAACCTTGTTCTGAGGGCAGGGGAGGAGGAAAAACTGAATGGGCAAAGCTAAAGTTTCAATCAGGCAAGGGGAGGAAAGGGTTGAGAACTTTTATGTGAATGTCTGTCATTTTTGTCCAGAGCAGTTATCATTTACTAAAGCTTTGTGCCAGGCACTGTTTTTAGCACTTTGCATAAATTAGTTCACCAAAAGCTGACAGGAATACTTGGAGGCAGGTCATTTTGTAAAGGAGTTAACCAAGGCTCAGAGGGATTATGCAACTTGTCTAAGTTCACATGTAGTGAGTGAAAAGACAGAAACTTAAACCCAAGTCTGTCTCACTCCAAAGCCCTTGTTCTTGAACACTATCTGATGTGCTTCCTACAAAATGATAGTAAACACATCTAGGGCAAGTGGTTTAATAGCCTAAGTGTCTTATTCTACTGCCTCTAGGTTTCCCAGCTAGTCTCTCACTGTCCCTCCCTGGAGGCCTAATGCTTGGGCTATTCCCTTCGCCTCTACATCAGTTTGCTCAGTCCGCAGGCTAGTTTTCAGAGATATTTAGCCAGTAGAGTTGCTAAAGTGAAAATAAGTCCTTTCTTCCCTGATGCCAACAAGATGCTTAGGTAAATATGGCTAAACCGATTCAGAAAGGCCCTAAACATGAGGCATTTAAACTGCTGGATGTGATAGCTCAGACCTGTAGCCCAGCACTTTGGGAAGCTGAGGCAGGAGAATAGCTTGAGGCCAGGAGTTTGAGATCAGCCTGGGAAACAAAGTGAGACCAAGTCTCTATACAAAATTTTAAAAATTAGCTAGGCATGGTGGCACTCACCTGTAGTCTCAGCTACTCGGGAGGCGGGGGGTTGAAGAACTGCTTGAGTCCAGGAATTCAAGGCTGCAGTGAGCTATAACTGCCACTACACTCCAGCCTGGGAAATAGAGTGAGACCCTGTCTCAAAAATAAATGAATAAAAATTGATATAACAGGAAATGAGAAGAAGTTAAGGACTCTGGATAAAGGAGACTAATCTGGCAACAGTCCCATAATTGAGGCAGATGCGTTGCCTCTTCTGAAGCACCTGCAGAGCTTTCTTAACATCCACAGGCCCAGTGCCACCCTAGACTTTCTGAATCAATCAACAGGCATGAAGCAGGAGCACCCACATGCACCTGTATGGCTAAGATGGTCCACAGGTGATTCTGACACACAGTCAGGGTTGTGAGGTAATCTGGATTAATGGATTAGGGAGGTAGTTTTTTTAAGCAACAAAAATAAGGGGAGAAGGTATAGATGAATATTTATCTGTTTTAAGTTAAGGAATTCACTTGTACTTAAGCACAAACAGTGCCGAGCATGACGTCTCATGCATGTAATCCCAGTACTTTTGGGAGGCTGAGGCAGGCAGATCACTTGAGGTCAGGAGTTCAACACCAGCCTGGTCATCATGGTGAAACCCTGTTTCTACTAAAAAATACAAAAATCAGCCAGGCGTGGTAGCACACGCCTGTAATCCCAGCTACTCGAGGCTGATGCAGAAGAACCGCTTGAACCCAGGAGGTGGAGGCTGCAGTGAGCAGAGACTGAGCCACTGCATTTCAGCCTGAGTGACAGAGCAAGACTCCAACTCAAACAAACAAAGAAACAAACAAAAAAGAACACCACACACACAAAACAAACAAAAAAGTATAAACAGGAAGAAGATCTAACTACATCATTTTAAAACAACAACCACAATTTTAAAAAGCTTTATCAAAAACCACCATAAAGAAAATAAAGAGGCAAATAATGAACTGGAAAAAATATTTGCTACATATTTGACCCAAACAATTAATTTCCTTAATAAATAAAAAGTGTTTCAATTCAATAAGGAAAGCATAAGCATTCCAAAGGAAAACAAAGTGTATGAATCTATATTTCACAAAAATAAGTATAAATTATGGATATGATAAAAAGTTTCACCTCACTATGAAACAAAGAAATTCAAATTAAAACAAGCTACCACTTTGGCAAATATTTGCGAATGATAATGCCTAGTGTTAAGGATGGGAAAAAACAGGCATACTCATATGCTATTGGAGGACTATAAATTGGTACAACTCTCTGGTGAGGAATTTAGCTTTATGCTTTGAAAGGCTTTAAAATGTTCATTTTCTTTGATCCAATAACTCCCATCACTTCTACAAATTCAGGATGAACTCTTTATAAAAGAGAACCTCTTCATACCTAAAAAAATGCATCTTGAGTTTGTGTCCTTTGTAGGGACATGGATGAATCTGGAAACCATCATTCTCAGCAAACTGACATAAGAAAAGAAAATCAAACACCGCATGTTCTCACTCATAGGTGGGTGTTAAACAATAAGAACACATGGACACAGGGAGGGGAGCATCACTCACTGGTGTCTGTTGGGGGTGGGCTAGGGGAGGAACACCAGGGGTGGGGAGGTTAGGGAGGGATAACATGGGGAGAAATGCCAGATATAGGTGATGGGGGATGGCGGCAGCAAACCACATTGCCATGTATGTACCTATGCAATAATCCTGCATGATCTGCACATATACCCCAGAACCTAAAGTACAATTTAAATATCTATATATATATATATAAATGCCAAAAAAAAAAACCCACAAATGCACCTTTAGTAAGAGTGAAAAACTGTGAGTAAACTACATGCGTCCAATAAAGACATGGCAATATATCCATATGACAGTATACCGGGCAGCAATTTAAAATAGATTTCAGAAATATTTAAGAGTTATGGAAATCCTTACACTACATTAGGTGGAAAAGCAAATTAAACATTAATATAAATATACACATACATAGTTAAGAAAAAAGGCTAGCTGATACCTAGTGGTATTATGGGTAAATAAAAATTTAATTATCCTCTTTATATTTTTCTTGATTTTTCAGATTTCTTCTCAAAAACACAAATTGTTTTATTTTATTTTATTTTATTGAGATAGGGTCTTGCTCTGTTGCCCAGACTGATGTGCAGTGGTACAATCACTGCTCACTGTAACCTCAAACTCCTGGGCTCAAGTGATCCTCCTGACTCAGCCTCCAGAGTAGCTGAGACTACACACGTGTGCCACCATATCTGGATAATTTCTTTAATTTTTTGTAGGGATGGGTTTTGCTACGTAGCCCAGGCTAGTCTCGAACTCCTGAGACCTCAAGTGATCCTCTTGCCTCAGCCTCCCAATGTACTGAGATTACAGGTGTGAGGCACTGTGCCAGGCCAGATTTTTTTTTTTTTGAGACAATCTCACTCTGTTGCCCAGGCTGGAGTGCAGTGGCACAATCTCAGCTCACTGCAACCTCTGCCTCCTGGGTTCAAGTGATTCTCCTACCTCAGCCTCCTAGGAGTTGGGATTACAGGTGCCTACCATATCTGGCTAATTTTTATATTTTTAGTAGTGATGGAATCTCACCACTTTGGTCCAGCTGGTCTCGAACTCCAGACCTCAAATGATCCAGGTAGGTCAGCCTCCCAAAGTGCTGAGATTACAGGCACGAGCCACCGCACCTGGCCCACATTAGTTTTACAGTAAGAAAAAATGGTAATCATTATTATCCAACAGCTGATAAGATAATGTCATGGAGAACCAAGAAGAGAACAAGAAAACTCTGGAAGCCAGGAAGGCACTAGTCTTTCAGGTGCAAGGTTATGAAGACAAAGGAGAGGGTAATAAATGTGAGAATTCAAAGAAAGAGAAACGTTTTCTAAACTGGCACTGCCCAATGTAACAGACTTTAGTCCTAGGCAGTTATTTAAATTAATTAAAGCTACATAAAATGTAAAATTCAGTTCCTTAGTTCAACTAGCCACCTTACAAGTGCTCCATGGCCATAGATGGCTAGTAGCTACCATAACAGATAGCATGGATTACAGAGGGTTTCCATCATTTCGCAAAATCCCATGGAACAGCGCTGCTCCATGCATTCCACTTCAGGCCTGAGGGATCCAGGTTCCATCTTGTCTTGGTTCAGTTTCTCACAACCTTCATGCTCTAACAATAAGCGTGTAAGCACCACGAGAACAGATATCATATCTGGCTGGTTCTCCCAGTCTATTGGGGGAGACATACTACCTGGGTAACTACACACAGTGTTATGTGGACTCGAAGACAGGTGCACAGATTATTGATACAGCAAAGAGCTCAATCTAGGGTTCAAGGAAGACTTCCGAAGAAGGAAGGGTGGGCACATACAGAGGAAAAGAAAGAATATTCTAAGTAGAGAAAAGAGTGTGATATGAAAAAGGGAACAGATGAGAAACAGGACAGGGCAAGGGAGTTAAAACTAGCGGGTTAGACACTGATTCATTCAAAACACAGTTGATGTCCCATGGGCCAGGCCTGAGCCAGCTCTGGGCACTGTGACCAGGACAGTGACCAGGACAGGTCACTGTGAGCCAGCAGTGACCAGGAGAGCTCTGGTTCCTGTCCCCACGATGCTTATATGCCAGGCTCACCAGTACTGCTGGAGTGCCAAGGGTGAGGCAGGGAATGTCAAGAACTGAGGATGGAGGCAAAAGGCCAAGTCAAGGACCCCGCACCTCATCTTAAGGATCCTGGTTAGTTTGCTTCTTATCCTAGCAATGGACCCCTCTTTTTGGCCTCAGTGGGAGCCGGAGTCCCCATCCTTCTCTCTCTCCCAGTCCCCCGCTCTGGTCCCTACCACAGCTGCGGGCGATGGGGAGCTCTTCAAGGGGTGCTGCCCGCGAAGGGCACAGTCACCACTTTAGGGAGACCCCTGCCGCGGCCGGCTGGGGTGTGGATTTCAGAGGTGTCAGAACAGAGACAGAAGTGTGGCTGAGAAGCTGCTGGAGTCACCTCCAAGACCTGAGAAAATGGTAGGGCCGACTTGAGCGACTTCGAAGCAGGAGAATCAGCTCCAAGTTCAAGGAATGCCAGGGAAGCCGAGGGAGGGCACTCGCCGCAGCGGGGAAGACGTGTCTGTGGGGCCAGGCTCGGAGCCAGGCGGTGGTCGTCCCGGGAGAGGCCCCGGGGAAAGACCAGCCGAGGGGCACCGGCGGCCCCGGGCAGAGGGCGGCATCGCGAGGGAGAGGGGAGTGGGGGCCAAGCCGGGCCGGAGCGCGGAGGCCGCAGGTGTGCAGCTGCCGGGGCACGCGGGGCCCAGGAAGGAAGCCTCCAGTGGACCGATCTCGACCTTGCCCTTGAGCATTTACCAGAGGCGGGCAGGGCACGTTCTTCTCAGCCCGTGCCCCGCCGAAGCCGCGGGCACGCGGGGCCTGCCACAGGACCGACGCTTCTGGACGCCTGACACCGGTCCCACCCGATCGCCCGGCCCCTCCCACAGCCCATCGCCGCTCGGCCCGAACTCCGCGTCCGGTCTCCTCAGAGCCTCCGCCGACCCTTCCCACGCCTCGCCTCGCACCGCTGCCCCTTCACGTCTCCATCCCCCCACGTGGCCGGCGCCCCGCCCGGCCGCAGTACCTTGGGCTCTCGAAGGAGCACCCCCTGCGCCGCAGCGCCGCCCTCTTCTGCCGCAGGAGCTCCGCGGCCGCCCCGCCGGGTTCTGGCTCCATCGCCAGGGGCGGGGGCCGCGGGCTCGGGCGCACTCGGGTGGGCTCGGGCCTCGGCCGGCCACTCGGCTCGCGCGCCGCAACCCACGCCCCGCCCCATGCCCCTCGCCGGGTCCAGGCCCCGCCCCTGCCCCGCCCTGAACCGTGGCCCAGCCAGCCTCGCGTCTCTCATCCTACTCCAGGCCCCGCCCCGAACCCCAGCCTGCCAGGACCCTCTGCCCGGCCCAAACACCGCCCCGCGCCCGCTCACCCTGGTCCCGGCCCCTCCCCGCGCCCGCTCAGCCTGTTACAGGACCCGCCCCGGTCCCGTCCCGGCCCCGCTCCCAACTCCAGCTCTGCTCGCCCCGCGCCCTCAGCCCGGAGCAGGCCCCGCCCACGCCCCGCCCCGCGCTCCGTTAACGCCCCTCCCGCGCCAGTCCCTCCGGGTTCTTGCCACCGGTTTTCCGCACCTCTGCGGGGCCCACAGGCCCAAAACACCCACCCTGTCCTCGACTGTGTCCCGTCCACGACCCCGACCCTCCTGCTGCTTGCCCCTCAGCACAGACCCAGGCCCCGCTCACCTACTCCTGCACTACTGAGCTCGCGCAAGGCTCTGGCCCTCACCGCAAACCTCTGCTTCCTCGAGCGCAGCCCCTTGCAGCTCGGCCCCTCCTCACCTCAGCACCTCCTGGCCCTTTCTGTTGCAGCTCCGCCCCTCGGGCCCTCCTCTCCCATGTCCCGCCCACAGGCCTGGCCCCGCCCCCTGGAACCCCGCCTTTTCCCTCCGAAGCCCCCAGTCCGCGCCCAAACCCAACTCCACCTCCTCTTCAGTTCTCCGAAAGGGCCCGCCACATCCCCGCCCCGCCCCGCCCGCGAGAGGCCCCACCCACACCTGGTGGCCCCGCCCAGCTGCCGCCCCTCTTCCCCTCCTCCCGCGCCCCAGCCCCGCCCTCAAACTCCGCGCCTGGTAGGATTCCCGCACCCGTGGCTAAAATGGCGTTCCGCCGTCCGATCTGCGTTGGCTCCTGGATCCTGCCATCCATCAAGGGGAGGTACTGCTGTCGCCTGGTGGTCGTTTGTGGCGCCTGTAAGGGGCTGGAGCTTTGCAGGATACCAGTTGTGGGTTCGAGTCTTGACTGTTAGTTTCCAACTGTGACAACCCCCAACCCCATCCTCACTTCTCTAAGTCAAACGCATTTTTCTCAGGGCCCTTGAACACTGCACTGTAACTGAGGGGAGCAACCCTATCTGGGTAAAGCTGGGGCCACCGTGCCGCCTAAATCAGGAGGAGGTGAGCTAGGGCTACCTCAGCAAGCGGGGCTTTGTGGCAGCTAGGGAGGTGTGGCCACGCGGGCCTGGAACTGGGATGATGGAGCAGAGCCTGAGGAGTGCGCTTGTAGGGGGAACCTGTGCTTGGAGGACTGGCCACTGAAACTTTGGAAGGCACTGGCTGGGAAACTGAGGCAGTCAGGGCCAGTGGATCCTATGATCAGCTTGAATCACATCACCCCCTGGTGCACATTTCCTCAATGACTTCCAGGTTCCTTCTTGGTAAAGCCTGAACTCCCTTGTGAGAGAATGAAGGGGCTGCTCAGATAGCACTGAGAGAAAGACGTAGAGGAGGCCTTCCTTTTCTCCTTCCAGGCCTTGTGGAGATGCCTCTGGTCCATCCCTCAGGTTTCCATGAGATAACCCCTTTAAGACAGCCCTCCTTTTTCTCCAATGAGGTATAGTGGAGTTCTGGGTTTTTGCCTAACATAATGAAGTCCTCCCAACATATCTTTTCAGACTTAAATCCCACTATTCCCAGAAAACCTTTACTCTGTGAGATCAGGTTGCCTCCTTTTCCCCAGCCTCATCCTGCTCCTTCTCATTTCTGTCTCCCTGTTGCCCCCACCCTTCATGTGTTCTGCAGTCCCTGAACTTAATTTCCAAATACCCACTGCCCTCTAAAGCATCCCCAGGTCTCCTGCCTCTCTCCCTGGAGTGCTTACCGCTTCCTGAGGACACTGCTCCTGCATGGTTTTTATGTTCTAGTTCTCTCCTAGCTAAGTTTTGGGCACCCTATTTCTCCTCCGTGTCTATCTGAAACAGCAACTGTTTGCTAAGTGAGTGTGTGTGATTTTAATAAACTGAGCAATATTCATTGGAAAACACATTTAATCTCAAAGTAAACAAAGATGTTTGTACATTAAAGTATTTAATTAGTGAAATAATTATCAATGTAACAAGCTGAAAAATACAGCAACTTGATACAAGACTGAGGTAACAAAATACTTCACCAAAAATCTAAAGAATCCCACAGAGGGCCGATGTTCAGTGGTTACTGCAGGTGAGACAATTCACAAGAATTAGATAAAGTCCTTACACAACAGCATGCAGGGGTCTGCTGGAAAAAAAGACAGCCCAGGAGAGTGCAACAGATTTAACAAGAAACGAATTAAAATGTAGAAACTGATTTTCAACTTACTTTGAAGAGTACATAAGAAATTGAAAACTACTCTCTATGCAACATTTTGAATGCTAAGTGGAAAACCATGCATTTTGGCACGAAATTTATTAAAGATTATACCATACTAATAAATTAAGTACTATTACTTCATTACTGAATAGTCACAGTCGTTCAGAAATGGATAAAGAGATTAATGGTTATAGAATGCACAGATGATCTCCTGCGTTGCTGCTGTAAGCAGGGTTTTGAGGCTGCCCATGTCTCAAGTCCATGGTACAAGTTCTCAGCACCCAAGAAAATGCAGTTCTCGCTCATACTGTAGTTGTATTTGACATTGAAATTAAAAACAAAAACCTATGGAGCAAATACTGTGACATTCTGACCCTACTCTCATTTCACCTTTGGAATCCTTGGCATGCCCAACTGCAGCTCTGTGCCTGGCTCTTCTGGGCCAATCAGCCTCTAGAATAGTGACTTCATCCTCATTACAACTGAACTCACAGATCAAAAGGCTATTCATTCTGTTGAGTCTTTTGATGCCTTTCTGGAGGAGTCTATGCACAGGATTTATACTCAGGGCTAGGAGAGAAGCAAAGTCTTGCCTAAGGAGATATGTGTGGTGAGGACTATTTGTTGAGTGGTCAGGTCCATGAGGGCAGGGATCAGATCTGACTTGTTCTTAGCACAGGTGGCACTCGCTAGTGATGTGAATGAATGGGTGGTTTTGTGCAGATAATCAGTTATTTCTAAAGGACTAGGAATTTTTTTTTTAAACACGAAGCCACTTGACATGTCAAAATGATGTAAAGCTGATTTAAGTCATTTATGGGGTCACAAACTAGATGGCTGTGTTTTTGGCAAGACTCCCCAGCGGTTAAGGACATCAGCAGTGTGGGGGAAGGGCTCTGGGCCCCACCTGAGGAACACAGCAGATGTTGCTTGTAAGTGACTTCCTGTTTAACAGAGCTTTTCCACCTGTAAAATGGCATCCTAAAAGGCACACCTCTTGGGGCTTGGGAGGTGGGCATAAGAGGATACTGGCCATCTTGGTAAGAAAAAAAAATGCTCTATAAATTCAACTGGCAAAAGAGAGTGAGTTCCTTCCTAAACAGAATCTCTTCAAGTATCTACTTTCTCAGGTTCCACAGCCTTGCAGGGAGGGAGGGGGCCAAAGTCTCTCACTGGGCACAGTTAGAACAAGACTTCTACTGCTCTCTACCATACTAATCCTCCATCGAGTATTTCAGTTGCCAGAATGCACTTGACTGATCTTGAATGACAAAACATGTTCAACTGAGAGGGACAAAAATTAGTCCTAGGGACAGAGGTGAGTTGTTCTTGGGACAACAATGTTACTGGCTACCAGCGCCACATGTGTAGACAGCTTTCTATAACTTTCATTTTGGGATGTCATGATCCATTTGCTTAAAAAAATACAGCATATGCAAGAAATAATCCCTTCAATGGCTTCATAAACATTTGTGCAGTCTGGACAGTCAAGGAGCAAACACTAGAAATGCTTCCTTCCAGGGGAAGAATCTACCCATGGACTTTCACGCTTCGTGATCGGTGCCTGGCCCCCCTCTGTCTCAGGCTCTGAGGGTTCCTGCAGCTTGAGGACAAACCAACACTGGGAAGACAATCAGTACTTAAAGCCCATGCTTGGCCTGGGCCCCTGCTTAGAGAGTTGAGTATCTTCCAGCTTTATCTCCAGAACTCTTCCAGTGTGTTCAAGGCTCTTACAGCTTCTATAAGGCTTTTTGCCAACAAAGCCTAAAGAGATTCTTCAAGAGTCCAAGCTAACAATGCTCTTGGGAGAGGATGTGGCAGCAGAATCACTTAGTGAGACTAAACCATTTTGAATTGTGAGTGTGCTATTTCAAATTAGGCTAAGAGATATTTGTGAAAGAAAAGACAAATTTATAAGGGACAGAAAATTACCTGCTTTTGTGGTGCCTGAAATTCTGAGGTTTTGGATTGGCATCTATACTTCATATGTGAAAAACCAGGACAGTTTGCAGGGTGGAAAACCCCAAGGAAAATAAGTAGTTGATGTTCCACGTCTTGCACTTTCATCCAAACATATGACTTTTTTAAAGTTAACAGGTAGAATCCGATTCAGTGTAGGTTAAAGTGTTAACACTGTATGGTTCTGTTAAAGGTGTCTGGAGTGTCTGGCATTGTCATTCAGCCTCTAGATGCTGATTTGAATAGTCATCAGAAGAATTAGGTGCACCATCCGTGTGGGTGTGCAAAGCACCCAGTGTCAAGGTTGATGGCATCAGCTTTATCACCTGGAGTTTCTCTTAGCAGGAAAGTACTCTAGTCTTTGCTCAAAAGGAAGATTTATTCCTAAGCACAGTAAGTCTCAACTACAAAATGAGACCCAGATGACAACTACTTTCCTCACCAAGTCATTCAAATTTTTAGAGAAGTTGTCATTATTTGGTCAAAATACAGTGGTGGGTCTTTTCGTCATTTTGAAATTGACCTATTACAGTTTACTGGTGTAGATGTTGTTTTGAAGCATCCAGCTCAGAAACTCTTGAGGGTAGCTTGATGCCTGATTAGTGTGAACTCTGAAACCATGATAGTCACAAGGACCCAGAAATTCAGTCTCTTTCAGAAAATTGTTTAAGGGTTAACTTCTCAGAGTTAGGCTATCCAAACTAAAGGGGAAGGGGGAAGAGAAGATATTGTGCTAAAGAGTAATTTATTATTTTGAATAATGTATTTGTGCAAAATAAAAGTCACTTTAAAATGTGACAAAAGGTGACAGATAAGGACATGGTTCATGTGAAGAGCTCCTAACTGAATGCAGAGGTTGGACTGTTCACTCCCTGGGGTTTGCTCTCTTGTCCCACAGTCATCAACAATTGTGCCCTTGGACTTGGAAAGTGGGAAACTTGCTGGTGACTGCATTTGGGGCCAAGACTGGGGAAGCTTAAGGCCTCAGGCCACTCAGCTTCCCGACGTGATCAGGAATCTTGGTGGGCCCCGCCCTGGCAGTGGAAGCAAAGGGGTGAGATGATGGGGGCACAGGCCTTGCCCTGCGGGGAGAGGTTCACACCTCGTGGCTTCTGCACAGCTGATCCCTATGAGCATATCGGCCTCAGAGCTGCAACATCACAACTTCCCATTCTGGCATGGTGGGAGGAGTGAGAAAAGGAGGGCCTCAGGCCCTGCTAGGAATGGGGAAAGACGCAAGCAGGCCAGCAGCCCAGTCCACGGTCCTGAAGCCAGGTCCTGTCTCAGAAGGGCTGACAGCAAAGAGGCCTGGAAGGGACCCGGGGCCCCAGGGAGCAGGCCTTCCAGATGAATAGCACCCATAGGAACAGAAAACAAGACACAATTTAAGGCATTGTTTGTTTACAGTAAAAGAATGCAAGGGACCCTTAACATAGGAGGAATCTAGGCTCTCACTCTGACCTTCCTCAGTGGACAGGGCTATAACTTAAGGTTAAAGCAGGGCCTCAAAGCGAATGAAGTGTGTGATGTCACAAGTCTTGTGCCAAAATGCATGTTTCTTGAAGAGTTCACACTCGCTCACACACACACGTATAGCACACACACGCACAGGACGCTTTGGGGTTGTACAAAATCTGAGGCAGCCCTGTGGGCGAGCAACCCCGTGCACTTGGGGTGTAAAAAGCCTGTTCCGCAGCTGTTCCTTCTCTCGGGCCCCTCTCGCTGTCCACTCTGTGCAGTAGAGAGCACTGTCCACTCTGTAGTAGAGAGCACTGTCCACTTTGTGCAGTAGAGAGCACTGAGAACCCAACATGGGCCGAGTGCTCTCTAGTCGCAGAAGCAGGTGGTGGGCCCAGAGAGGGAGAGTGGGGTGTACAGTTTGGGGTCTAACCACCACCCCGAGAGGCGGTGCTGCAGAATGAGTGTCATGAGAGTCGCTGGGGACTGACAGGTGGATTCTGCACTGGTGGAGCCCTCTGGGATGGTGAGGCCACAGGCCGTGTCCCCTGAGTCCAGCTGTGAGTTTCCCAGCACTCTGGCTCACAGCCTGTGCCCAGGACTGCTCTTCACCACCAGGCCCAGCCTGGGTTCCCAGAAGCCTCTGAAGTCACGCCACATCCTGCAGAGACTTACTCAAATGACATAAGATTTGCAGGTACCTAGAAGAGAAAGCTCAGCTTCTTATTAAAGTTCCGACCTCAGAGGACAAGGGGTAGTCCCTAGGGGAAGGGACAGGCCTTTCCCCATGAGTCTGAGCAGGGTAGGGAGAGGATATAACAATAACCATAGCCACCCCATGTGAAGTGGCAGCTGCATGCCAGGCACTGCTCTGAATATGCCACATGCATTGTGTCCTTGAGTCCTCACTTCAACCCCATGGGGCAGGGACTGAAATCATCCTCATTACAAAGATGAGGAAACTGAGGCTTAGGGAGGTTCAGTACCAGCAGCGAGTAAGCAGCAGGGCTAAGACCCCAGAGCCCATGCTCTCAACCCAGCTCCTCCAATGAAAATCAAACTGCACTTGGGGCAGGAAGACAAATCCTGAAGGCCCGGGGTGTGTGCTGAGAGTGGACGGCAGGAGTTGGTAAAGGGAAGCATGGGAGAAAGAGTAAGTTCAAGGATATCAGAAACCCCAAGACCTTCCCATAGTCTGCACCCAGGACAAGATCCTAGCCCTCTTTACTGGCAGGACCGCTAGCCCCAAGGTCCAAGTGTTTCTGCCGCCTCCAAAAGCTTCCAACAGGCCCTCAGCCCCCAGACCTCCTCCCTCAGCACTGCTGTGGGAGGATTTGATTAGAAATAATTTCATCAAAAAAAATCCATCTTGGTGTCAATTTGGTCAAATGATGAATTAGGAAAACAATGCCTCTCCATGTACCGGGAGACAGTCATAAGAATGGACATAGGCCGGGCGCGGTGGCTCAAGCCCGTAATCCCAGCACTTTGGGAGGCCGAGGCGGGTGGATCATGAGGTCAAGAGATCGAGACCATCCTGGTCAACATGGTGAAACCCTGTCTCTACTAAAAATACAAAAAAAAATTAGCTGGGCATGGTGGCGCGTGCCTGTAATCCCAGCTACTGAGGAGGTTGAGGCAGAAGAATTGCCTGAACCCAGGAGGCGGAGGTTGCGGTGAGCCGAGATCGCGCCATTGCACTCCAGCCTGGGTAACAAGAGTGAAACTCCGTCTCAAAAAATAAATAAATAAATAAAATAAAGAATGGTCATAAGCAGCACTGCTCACTATAGCAAAAAAGCAGAAAATCTTTCCTGGGATGCCCAACAGAAGAACTAATAAAAACAAAATCAGTAGAAATACATGAATGACTGCTACATGTGGTGACACTGATGAATCCTAGAAACATGTTATAGGAGAAAAGCAAGACACACAAGAAAATGCATAGTTGTGGTTCTATTTAAGAAAGTTTAAAAATGCACCCCAGACAATACATGAAGAAATCAAGTACGTGACCTGCAATTCTAAAAGAATAATCAGCAAACAAATCAGAAGAGTGGTTCTGGGGCACAGGTGGGAGGGAGAGAAACCAAATTAGGAAGAGGCCGTGGTGAGGGACAGAATTCCAAGGTCCTGGTGGCTGTGCTGTTAGGTGCATGGTGGCAAGAGGATGTTGCTTAACTGCTGTTGTTTATAGCTATATATATGTTATAAAGTTTAAGTGTATTTAATGTTAATAAAACAATTTTAAGACATGCAGTTCCACAAAACAGAAAATCAGTCTAGTCACTGTGATTTTTCCAGGTGAACAGATGCATTTCTGTCACACCTTTCTTACATCCTCCTGGCATTCCATCACACGGATGCACTGTGATTGACTTAAATCATCTTCTGCTGTTGACTATTTCAGTTGTTGTCAACTTTTTATTATTATATATAACACAGAATGGGGATATTTGGTTGAAAGTAAATTAGAAATGAAAAGGGGAAAAGGTAGGAAAAAAACTCCCCTCCTCCAGGTCTGAAAATCTGACAAAAGTCCTTAAAAGTTGTAGCCTTGAAAGACGATCCAAGATGGCTGAATAGGAACAGCTCTGGAGTGCAGTTCCCAGCAAGAATGCAGACGGTGAGTGATCACCGCATTTCAAAACAAGGTTTTACTGCCCACAGACCAGGAGAGTCCCAGAAGGAAAAGTGTCACGAGTTTCTAGCATGGCTGTTTCAGCTGGTACAGTGGGTCTCCACACACAAACTCACACAAATCTGGGCAGCCGTTTCAAGTGGCGCCTGGAATGCCTGAGAGACAGAGTTGCCCATTCAACTGAATAAAAGGGGTCTGAAACAGGGAGCCAGGTGATCTGGCTCGGTGGGTCTCACCCCCACAAAGACCAGCAATCTGAAATGCTCTGGATTGAGAGTTTCACAGGAAGCATAGCTGGACCTGGGACAGTCCAGCTCTGCTGGGGGAATGGCGTCCACCATTACTGGGGCAGTCCACTACTACCAAGGCAGTCTGCTATTACTGAGGCAGTCCACCATTACCAAGGCAGTCTACCATTACCGAGGCAGTCCGCCATTGCCAAGGCAATCTGCCATTACCGAGGCAGTCCGTCATTACAGAGAGAGTCCGCCTTTACAGAGACAGTCGGCCATTACTGAGGCAGACAGCCATTACCGAGGGCAGTTCTAACTATACCTCTATAAGCAAAACTGCAAGGAAGTTCACACAGCAGCTGGGCAGAGTGCACAGCAGCTCAGCAATGCCTCTGCTGCCAGACTGTGACTAGACTACCTCCTCGCTGGGCAGGGCATCTCTGAAAAAAGGCAGCAGCACATCAGGAACTTACAAATAAAGCCCCACCTTCCCAGGACAGAGCACCTGGGGAAAAAAAGGTGGTTATGAGTTCCACTGCAGCAGACTTAAACATACCTTGCCCAGCAGCTCTGAATGGAACAATGGAGCTCATAGCTCAGTACCTGAGCTCCTATAAGGGATAGACTGTCTCCTTAAGCAGCTCCCCAATGCCTGTATATACAGAGACACCTCAGAGCTCAGGCTGACATCTGGCAGGTATTCTTCTGGGACAAAGATAACAGAAGAAGAAACTGGCAGCAACTGTTACTGTTCGGCAGCCACTGCAGGTGATCGCCAGGCAAGCAGGGTCTGGAGTGGACCTCCAGCAGTCCTGCAGCAAAGGGGTCTGACTGTTAGAAGGAAAACTAAAAAACAGAAAGAAATAACTTCATATTATCAACAAAAAGGACGTCCACTCAGAGACCCCATCCAAAAGTCACCAACTACAAACACCACAGGTAGATAAATCCACAAAGATGGAAAGAAACCAGCGCAAAAAGGATGAAAACACCCAAAACCAGAATGCCTCTCCTCCTACAAGGGATCACAGCTCCTCACCAGCAAGGGAACAAGGCTGGATAGAGAATGAGTCTGATGAATTGACAGAAACAGGCTTCAGAAAGTGGGTAATAACAAACTTTCCTGAGCTAAAACAACATGTTCTAACCCAATGCAAAGAAACTAAGAACCTTGAAAAAAGGTTTGACGAAATGCTAATGAGAATAAACAGCTTAGAAAAGAATATAAATGAATTGATGGAGCTGAAAAACAACACGAGAACTTCGTGAAGCATACACAAGTTTCAATAGCCGAATCAACCAAGCAGAAGAAAGGGTATCAGACATCGAAGATCAACTCAATGAAATAAAATGAGAAGGCAAGATTAGAGAAAAAAGAGCAAAAAAAAATGAACAAAGCCTCCAAGAAATACGGGATTATGTGAGAAGACCTAATCTACGTTGAAAAGATGTACCTGAATGTGACGGAGAGAATGAATCCAAGCTGGAAAATACTCTTCAGGATATTATCCAGGAAAACTTCCCCAACCTAGCAAGGCAGGCCAATATTCAAGTCCAGGAAATACAGACAACACCACAAAGATATTCCTCAAAAAGAGCAACCCCAATAATCGTCAGATTCACCAGGGTTGAAATGAAAAAAAAAAATGCTAAGGGCAGCCAGAGAGAAAGGTTGGGTTACCCACAAAGGGAAGCCCATGAGACTCACAGTGGATGTCTCAGCAGAAATCCTACAAGCCAGAAGAGAGTTGGGGGCCAATACTCAACATCCTTAAAGAAAAGAACTTTCAGCCTAGAATTTCATATCCAGCCAAACTAAGCTTCATAAATGAAGGAGAAATACAATCCTTTATGAACAAGCAATTGCTGAGAGATTTCATCACCAGTAGGCCTGCCTTACAAGATCTCCTGAAAGAAGCACTAAACATAAAATGGAACCAGTACAAGCCACTCCAAAAACGTACCAAATGGTAAAGAGCATCGACACAATGAAGAAACTGCATCAACTAATGGCCAAAACAACCAGCTAGCATCAAAATGGCATGATCAAATTCACACATAACAATATTAACCTTAAATGTAAATGGGCTAAATGTCCCAATCAAAAGACACAGACTGGCAAATTGGATAAGGAGTCAAAACCCATCCATGTGCTGTATCCAGGATACCCTTCTCACATGCAAGGATACACATAGGCTCAAAATAAAGAGATGGAGGAAGATTTACCAAGCAAATAGAGAGGGAAAAAAAAAAAAAAAAGCAGGAGATGCAATCCTAGTTTCTGATAAAATAGACTTTAAACCAACAAAGATCAAAAGAGACAAAGAAGGGCATTACATAATGATAAAAGGATCAATGCAGCAAGAGGAGCTAATGATCCTAAATATATACGCACCCAATACAAGAGCACCCAGATACATAAAACAAGTTCTTAATGACCTACAAAGAGACTTAGACTCCCACACAATAATAATGAGAGACTTTAACACTCCACTGTCAACATTAGACAGATCAACGAGACAGAAAATTAACAAGGATATCCAGAACTTGAACTCAGATCTGGACCAAGGAAACCTAATAGACATTTACAGAACTCTCCACCCCAAATCCACAGAATATACACTCTTCTCAGCACCACATCACATCTACTCTAAAATTGACCAAATAATTGGAAGTAAATCACTCCTAAGCAAATGCAAAAGAACGGAAATCAAAACAAACTCTCTCTCAGACCACAGTGCAATCAAATTAGAACTCAGGATTAAGAAACTGACTCAGAACCACACAACTTCATGGAAACTGAACAACTGGCTCTTGAATGTTGACT